AGCAAACGATTGGATATAGAGTTTAAGGCCACGTTTATAAGGTTTTTCAAGAATTTTATGGAAACCGCCGATAAATTTAATGAATCCCTCAATAAGTATAGTGAGACCATGGAGGACATGAAAAAGGACCAACTAGAAATTAAGCATACACTGACTGAAATAAAGAATAATTTACAGAGATCCAGCAGTAGACAAGAGGATCCCAAGAATCAAGTCAAAGATTTGAAATACAAAGAAACAAAAAATACCGCCGAAACCGGTTTGGCTCAGTGGATAGAGCGTCGGCCTGCGGACTGAAAGGTCCCAGGTTCGATTCCAGTCAAGGGCATGTACCTGGGTTGTGGGCATATCCCAGTAGATGTGCAGGAGGCAGCTGATCGATGTTTCTCTCTCATCGATGTTTCTAACTCTCTATCTCTCTCCCTTCCTCTCTGTAAAAAATCAATAAAATATATTAAAAAAAAAAAAAAAAAAGAAACAAAAAATACCCAACCGAAAAAGAAAAAAGAAAAGAGATTCCAAAAATATGAAGATAGTGTAAGGAACCTCTGGGACAACTTCAAGCGTACCAACATCAGAATTATAGGGGTACCAGAAGGAGAGAGAGAGCAAGATATTGAAAACCTTTTTGAAGAAATAATGACAGAAAACTTCCCCTACCTGGTGAAAGAAATGGACTTACAAGTCCAGGAAGCGCAGAGAACCCCAAACAAAAGGAATCCAAGGAGGACCACACCAAGACACATCATAATTAAAATGCCAAGAGCAAAAGATAAAGAGAGAATCTTAAAAGCAGCAAGAGAAAAACAGTCAGTTACCTACAAGGGAGTACCCATACGACTGTCAGCTGATTTCTCAACAGAAACCATGCAGGCCAGAAGAGAGTGGCAAGAAATATTCAAAGTGATGAATAGCAAGAACCTGCAACCAAGATTACTTTATCCAGCAAAGCTATCATTCAGAATAGAAGGTCAGATAAAGAGCTTCACGGATAAGAAAAAGCTAAAGGAGTTCATCACCACCAAACCAGCATTATCTGAAATGCTGAAAGGTATTCTTTAAGAAGAGGAAGAAGAAAAAGGAACTCTTACCATTTGCCACAGCATGGATGGAACTGGAGAGCGGATAAATACCACATGATCTCACTCATTTGTGGAATATAATGAACAACATAAGCTGATGAACAAGGACTGATCCAGAGACGGAGAGGCATTGATTGGACTGTCGGGACTTGGAGGGAAGGTAGGGGAGGGTGGGGTTAAGGGGGAAAGATCAACCAAAGGACTTATATGCAAGCATATAGGCCTAATCAATGGACTTGGACAACGGGGGGGTGAGGGCATGAGCGGGGGGGGGGGGGGTAGAGGGTAACGTGGGGACAAGGACACATATGTAATATCTTAATCAATAAAAAATATATTTAAAAATAAATAAATAAATAAATAAATATGGTCATAATGAATGCAACAGCTAAGAAAATCAGAAATTGTTACTTATGGGGAGCACAAGAGTGAAAAGACGTTCCTGGACAGAAGGGTTCCTTTTGCCTGTGCGCGTCAAAGCCTAATAAGACACAAACAGGAGTTTGCAGCTAAGAAAATAAGGATTGACTAAGGAAATGGCTCCATGCCCGGAGTCTCAGGTAGCTCATGTTCAAAAACCTGGCTCCCTGCTGGCTTCAAGGAGATGGATCAATCATATATGGAACAAATCACTACTCATGGTCACTAATGGAGCTAGGATCGTGGCCTCTATTAGTTGGTTGGTGCTAGGGTAGGGGTAACTGATCTTTGCATCTGGCCCTGATGTCAGCCATGGAGTTGTTCTCTTTCGTTTCACAAGGGTTTGTTCTGTGGGATCCTTCTGCTTTCCTGGGTCCAGAGCTAAAACACAATGAGGCCTAGATATTACGTGTAACTGTGTCTCAGTAGTAAATAGACCCAAGACCTTGTTCCTAAGACTAGGGATCTGACAGCTTCATTGTCCTGAGGCCTTAATGATTAAGCAAGGGAGAGGGAGGGAGGTAAGTCAGGTGCTAGATGAGGCTAGTTTGAATGAAAGGGGAAAAAAATCAAAATAAAAGGTCAGGTTTAAGAAAATAAGGTTTCTGCACAGTTACAAAGGGAGTGGGCAGATTTTTAAAACTATAAGCCTGCTAGTATGATTTATTTTTTCAATCATCTATCTTTATAATTTATACAAAACACACACACACACACACACACACACACCCTCAAAACATGGAGGGAAACCACAAAGCCAAGAAAAATAACAGGAAAGTTATAATGCATCTTCAGCTTCTACTCTTCACATTGTGATGACATCTTGTTTAACAGTGTTCAAACCTGTCCATTAAGTGACCCAAAATTAAATGCTTAGGCCATGTAGTGGAATGCATGCTTTCTCTGTCATTTCCTGAAAAGCAGTCAGTATGTTATGGATGTTATGTAGCATAAAGCAAATACCTAGCTGAAATGTGGCTGGTAAATAGACCATCTTTGCCAGTAAGCTAAGCAAGCTGCAGAAACCGACCTCTTCTCAACAGGAACTTAAAGAAGAGACAATCAAGTCAATGGGCTTTGCCCAGAAAATGAACTAAGCACAGGGATAAACACGGCAGGGAACGGGAGAGAGGTTAGCCCCCTGCTTGAGCCCAGCTTCTTTATCTGCAGGTTTGGAGGCTCAATCAGATCACAAGTTCCTTTTGGACCTTCACACACCTCCCTAACCCCTTTTATTGCCTGAATTAATCTCTGACACGGATAACCATATACTCTAGTTTTCCTAGGACGGTCTTAGTTTATATCTGTTGTTTGCTCTTGTTGTATTATTTATTAGTGTATTATTGATTACTATTATTAATCTATTTTTACCCACTTCTGTACATTTCATAACTTGAATCCTCTTAAAAGTTTGGAGAAATTTAAGATTCCTTTGTGGGTGGCCTGTGAACTATGAAGAATTTTTTAAAAACAGAGTGATAATGTAAACTCTTCTTTTTAAAACATATTATTCAGTGAGAATAACCTAGGACATTGGGTCCTTTTACAAAATTAGGACAAATACTGTGGATTAATTCAATATTCAAGACAATAAATTTTAATTATTAAGTCACAGAATAAGGTCTTCCTTCTGACTTCATTGTCAATGATGACAACAATCTTAAGAGAATGTTCTTTCAGCAGATAATAGATTTCATTGACCATCACGGCTGTTTATTGCTTAATTAGTTACCAAAAGGGGAATACGTCCCTTCCACTGCACAGACAAGCTCTGTGTGCTAACGATTCCCAAATTTTCTCTAAGGCTGGGACTGAAAGTCCTGCCAATGCCCTGAACAAAAGCTCACAGATTATCCCATGAACTTGAAGCACTCCTTTCAGAGTGAGCAGCACGGAAACAGATTCCATAATTGATCACTCCACTACAAGGGAGATGTAACGTTGCTGGATTTTCTGGAAGATACAAAGAGCTTCTCAGTCTTAATCAAATATGCATGAGCCCTGATATAAAACATGCCTGTCTGAAGAGCAGTGGTTAGTTTCAGCATTCTTTTTCTTTTTCTTTTAAATATGTTTTATTTTTTACAGAGAGGAAGGGAGCGGGATAGAGAGTTAGAAACATCATTGAGAGAGAAACATCGATCAGCTGCCTCCTGCATACCTCCTACTGAGGATGTGCCTGCAACCAAGGTACATGCCCTTGACTGGAATCGAACCTGGGACCTTTCAGTCCGCAGGCTGACGCTCTAGCCACTGAGCCAAACTGGTTAGGGCTCAGCATTATTTTTCACTCACCCACTAAGTCACTGCCCGTGGAAATTTCTTCCTAAGTGAAGTAGATATGCGGTCCACTAGAAGGGTAAAAAGCCCACTAATTTTGTTTTTAAAGATGCACAATTACCACATTTTAAAAAGTTACTTTCAAACTAATTTATCATCTGCCCTTAAACTAATGAAGACAAAAGGAAAGCTGGATTTGGCGCTTGCTTACACTTTTCATTTGGATTAGAAAGTAGGCCTGTGAGTGTTTGGATCTCAGATCAGGTTTGCTTGGTAGCCTCAAAGGGCAATTTCCCCCTTTTTTCAAAATTTGCTTTTGATCATTTCAGACAATTCATGGTTTTGAATGAGAAAGAGTAGAAGAGAGGAATGCCGAATGGGGTTAAGTAAACGGAGAGTCTGTCACATAAAGCAAGTTTAAATCCCAGGAACAGCATCCATGCGGGACAAACGGAAGCATTCTTCTTTTGAAAACATTATTCTTTTAAGCAGTGTGTAATGACATCCTCCCTGGAGGCCTTTTCCATGAAAGAAAAAAAAAATACTTCCCCATAAGTCATGTTCTAGATTCCAAGTATAATGAGTGAAGCACAGTTAAAAGTCAAACTTGTGTTTCATTTATGTAAGAAGGTTCAAAATTAGAACTGCAAAAAAGGTGCTCATAAAGTGTTTCTCTGTGTTCTTGTTTTCTGTTACACAATCGTATTTCCATGAAAAAAAAAAAGCGACGTAAAAGGAAAAGTTCACCATTATGACTTCAGACGTACAAATCAGTGAATGTGACCTTACTGTAAAATGTGAGCCAAACATATTTTCAGGGGAGAAATGGACAAGACTCAACTATGCTGAATGTAAGATAATTAATTTGCTCTTCAGTTCCTTTTAAGTGTATCATTTTCTTATGCCAAAGTATAAACTGTGGAATATGTTTCCAGTAGTGTACTCTGTGCTGCTGTTAACCTCCTGAGGACTTGATTGCAAATAAATAAGAAAACTTTATGCTTTTAAAAGTATGGCATTACTCAAATATCAGAGGTTGGTTTTTGTTTGAAATATTTAAGATGTTTAAACAACAGAAAGGCAAATAAGCAGAGAAATTACTTCTTTCAATTCAAATACTACTTTATAAGTTTAATTAATGCATGCCCAAATAAACATTTCTCTTCAAAGTTTCAAAATTGCTGCTAAATATAATGGAACAAAGAAGGCAGACACTACTGAAAAATCACAATTATGATGTTTATTAAACAAAATAAATTTAAAGAAAAATTTCTATTAAAAAACATAAGAATCATATCCAAATTTTAGCTTCCCCATCTTCTTTGGTATTGAACTTAGCATTAAGGATATAAAATATTTTATTTTAAAGTTTAGTCACTAGGTCCACAGCAAGTTTCCATATAAAAAAAATAGGAAATCAAGTTATCTGGAATTGTCTTATTTGAATAATCAATGTATGCATAAAAGCAATCAGTTATGTGTGTGCAGGAATGAACATCATTAAGCAAACAGTCATTCATACTGGAAATATATCTTAACTTTTTAATGATTTTTCTGCCATCATTTTACCATGTTATCTGAATAGTAATTCAGTAAACAAGTGCTGTTACTCACTTAACTAAGGAACTACTCTCCCAGGAAGATGGCACCGCCATACCAGGACTTGGCAACATTTATTTTTTTTAACATGGCTACACCATTTAAAAAAAGTCTGTATTTCTCAGAATGGTGTGCTTCAGGCTTTTCATAAAATAGTATCTGAAGATTGCTAATAGCATTAAATTAATATTAATAAAATCCAATTCTGTCTTTTTTGTTTCTTAAAAATTACTTAAAACCAGACGTTGTGTTTCTTTTAAGGGTAGTATTATATGGACCACTAAATTAGTCAAGCCAAACACTTCCAGAAACAGCATGGGACATCCAAACTACTTTTATTCCTTTGACAAATTCTTTACCTACTTCAATTCTGATTTCTTCATGTCCTTGCTTTCTTGTGTGAAGATATCTTCCCCTTCATTTGTGAAAATGAATCTGAGAAAAAAATCCAATAACTAGGGCGATTTTTTTTTTTTGCATAGATTTGTGACCACAAATAATTGAGCGATTGACAGCTTCAGGGCTAACACTGTGACTGGGAACAAGAAGAGTACAGCCATAATAAAATACAACTATCTACCAGGAGGACTGCATACAGACATCTTCGGCCATGTAGGCTCTGGGCCCTCTGGAAATAAGTCAGTTGCATGGCCAACATGACGAAGAAAATAACAATGTTCAGAATCAGGAAGAGTCTGGTGTAAGAAGCGGACAGTGACGGGGCTTTGCTGTGCATAGTCGTCACCATCCGCGCCGGTCCAAACCGGCCTTTCATCAGGCCATCGTTCTTGTGTTTCTCATACGTCACATCTGCAAAATCTAAAAGGTCTTTCATCTCTTCATCTTCATCTATGGGCTGTTCTTTCTGTGCCAGAATCTGGGCTTTCTGCCGAATCTTTTTTTCATTGACTTCAATCTGTGCAAAAATATCGGGGACGGCATCCACAAATTTATAGCGCTTGCCTACCCTTCGGTTTTTCTTGGACTTGCGCTGCTGCTGCTGCTGCTGCTGCTGCTGCTGGGAAATGGCAAAAATCCTGTCGATGGCCTCCTCAGTCTGCCTCTTGTCTGAAAACCTCAGCAGGCGCTCCGCGGTCTTCCTGAAGCCGGCTGTGTTGCGGACTCGGGACAGGATCTGCTTCTCCAGCAGCTGGAACACTGGCTTAAAATGCTGCAGGCTCCGCTCCACGATAGCAGCATAGTCCCTCACCTCAGGGACAGTGGTGCTCTTGATGGCTGAGCTCCGGTCAAACAGAATTTTCTGACGATCGGCAATGACCTGTGCAAAGGCAGACTGGCCTGGGGTCTCATCTGTCCAAAGGTAAACAGCATAGGCGTGCTCCCTGGTGGCTATGAACACATCCAGCTGCTGGGGGTCTCCGTGGATGCTGAAGCTCTGAACATCCACGGACGGCCCGATGAAGAGGTAAGCTGCCCTGGTGATGGGACTTCGGAGGTGCATGGTGACATTCACATAGTTTGTCCCGTTGTAGGGATAGCCCCGAGGGTAGGTCACGGAAGCAAAAGTTGCTTTCTCACTGTAGCCGGTATCATCCATCCAGTACATTTTATAGAGCCCATCTCGCTGCCTGATGAAAGCCCCATGGACGCCATCCACCACTGTCTCCTCAAAAGGGAAGTCCACGTTGTGGAAGAAGCTCGTTGCCGTCTCCAAGAGGCTCTCCTCTCCCAGGTGGACTTCATCCACAAGGAGGAGAAGCTGTGGATGCAGGAGGATCAAATTCCTCTGAATGTTCTTCAGACTGAGCTGGGGGTTGTAAGCTCCCACACCTTCTCCTCGAATGAAAACCACTCCATTTTTCTCCGCTGCGGCGACCACCCTCCCTTGGCAGCTAGCTGCTAGGTCATGCTTGTATTTAGACCACTTTGATGAACAGTCTTCGGTGACCTGACCTTCCCAGGGAGAAAAGCAGCTCTTGGACACAGCTGGGGAAAACATCAAGACGTTGTTGAAAAAGGTATACTTGGGCCCGTAGAGAGCCTCCGTGATGAAAGGCACACCATTGGGAGCAAAAGTAAATGAGTTCTGATCAGGATGCTCATGCCCCGCATTAAAATTTCTCCATCCTTTGATCCAGTCTTTGTATTTGTTTCTGTGGACAATGTCATATATTGCACGGCCCCCAAGTTTTCCTGACTTGAAGGAAAGAAAAGACCTATTGAGTTCCGCAGGCAGTGCACTTCCGTAAGTCACAACGCCCCAGTCTTCAAAATAATGCAATGTAGGGGTGCCAAAATCTGGAGGAGGGACAGATTTCAAGCTGGCATCATACCTGAAAGAATTCATTTTAAAAAATTAATTGGTTTTCTAGTGGAAGTGAAAATAACACATCAGAACACACCGATGCTACCCAGAGCGCTGGCAGTGCAGACTGTAGTAGGGACATGCCGGGAGCCAGTCCATCCTTGCTGCTTCAAGGGACCTGGCATATATGGCATACTGTTCTTAATATGTTTGCTCACCTTCTTGGCACTATGTGTTCTAACCAAGGTCTCTGAGAAAGGTTGTTTCCCCAGGTAGGGATTTTCCCCTGAAGTTAGGGAGGGAATAAAACCTCTTAAATAAGTGCCAGGCGGATAATTAATCACTTTAACTACGAACAATCATGCTTAAGCTACATAATCTTTACTCCCTGGAATGGAGATAAGAAACGCCCTAACCTTTGGAATAGAGATTGATAGGATTGTAATCAACTGGTATAAATACAGATGTAACAACACAGAACTTAGAAGACAGAACTTAGAAGACAGAACCTACACAGAACCTAGAGACAGAAGAACTTCGCTGGAGAGAACATGGCAAAAGATCCTGGACAGAAACTGGCAACAGAACCTAGCGAGAGAACCTGGCTGAAGAACCTAGAGACAGAACCTGGCTACAGAACCTGGATAAAACATGGCAAGAGAACCTGACTAGAACCTGGTGACTGAACCTGGCTAGAGAACCTGGACAGAACCTGGCTGGAGAACCTAGTGAGGGAACATGGCTACAGAACCTGGCTGGAGAACCTAGCAAGAGAACATGGACACAGAACCTGGCTGGAGAACCTAGCAAGAGAACATGGACACAGAACCTGGCTGGAGATCCTGACCAGAACTTGGCTAGAGATCCTGGCTAGGCTGCTGATCAACTGAACGCTGTCTCCGTGTCATTCCTTCTTCGCCGACTCCGTCCACAACTTTGGGGACCCCTGGACCTGCTGGGGTGCCCCCAGCAGGGACAGTTCTGAGAATACCTGTGGATGGTCACACTGTGCAGGAGAACTAACACCTTGGGTGAAGGGAGAGGAGAATATCTTTACAACATGTGATCCTTGGATTTGAGCCTGAAATGATTACTGCTGCTAATGACTACATGAACCTTCTTCACTTAACCATGTCAGAGCTGCCATCCAAATGACTGGGGCTCATGGATCAGAAAATTAAGTACTTCACCCAAACCTCTAGCTTGAGGGGCTCCCATTCTAGGGAACCCTGTATTTCGATCTAGAACCTAACACGCCTTGAGTTGCAATGAAATATTTTTCTACAATAAATAGTATTATTAAAGTTTGGCAGAGTACTTTTTACCCTCTAAAATTTAATTTAAATGGAGTTAAACTTCACATATTAGATACAATTTACTGTGAATACCACATCTAAGAATATAAATAGATAAAATTCAGGAAACTATCAATACTGAGGATTTCTAACTGTGGCTACCACTGCCTAGCCCAGATCTAAAGCTTTTGTTTTAATCTACAGATGATGTCATGCATTTTGGACAATAAATGACCTGTTATTTAGGATAAATGTTTTTTATCAAGTAATAAAAAATTAACATTAAACTTCCAAGTGATTAAGAACACAGGTTTTTGATTCAGAAAGGCCGCAAAAATAATAAACATGATTGTTTGCTTTTGATGATTTGAAATAACAGCCTTGATAGGTTCATGTAATTTCCTGCTCAAGGGCAAAAAGGCAGACCTGTGTCATTAGCTCGTAGAGAATTTGTTCTACAGTGAATCAATTGTGTATGGCAGAGTTAATCTTATTGGTGTTTGAGGCTGTTTCATCTGTTGCTCTAGAGCAGGAGTGGGCAAACTTTTTGACTCGAGGGCCACAATGGGTTCTTAAACTGGACCGGAGGGCTGGAACAAAAGCATGGATGGAGTGTTTGTGTGAACTAATATAAATTCAAAGTAAACATCATTACATAAAAGGGTACGGTCTTTTTTTTCAATAGTTTTATTCATTTCAAACGGGCCGGATGCGGCCCGCGGGCCGTAGTTTGCCCACAGCTGTTCTAGAGTCTCAGTTTCAGAACATCAGAAAACGTGTCTCTCCCCAGGCCTGGTATAATAAGGTTGGCTTCCTTTTGTGATTTACCAAATCCAGACACAAGCTGAACTTTCCATCCTTCTTTCAGTTTTTGGACAGTTGGTATACTCTTATCAGGCAGATTTTGAACCAAGTCAGACTTAGCATTAATCTAAGTTAGCTTTATAGTCAGCTTTATAGAACTCTCTCGGTTGCTTAAGTGAAAATACAATTAAATAATGACTTTATCTCCCTAAAAGGCGTCAAGAATGGTTGCATATTAATATATTTAATTCACCTGTGAATACAGTTTTTAAAAATGCTGGTTAAACTAGAGACAATTATCTCTTTTCTAGTGTTATTTTCCTGTTAACTGTTTAAAATTTAAAAAATAATGAAGGGAAACAATCACACCACAGAAGCTTATTTTAGAGTTGAATGCAAGTGTAAGTGTCAAAAGCTTGAAAAGACATAAGAGATTAATTATCAACTAGTTCCCTGTAATTTTTATCTTCATTTATTGGATGCCAGTAATATATTTGGCAGGACTTTAAAAAGGAGACACAGGTTCTCTTTCTGGTTTAAAAGATTAAGGCCAAAAAAAAAATTACATGGTTCTTTTATTATCAAAGTGAAACTGTCAAAAACTGTCAAACACTTCTAAATAGTTTTGAAAATTTAGTAACAGCTTTGCTATTAGATTATAATGCTTCACTTACCAAAACAAAACAAATTATTTGGGGTGTGATTATCAGAAGAACCCAGTCTAAATTAAGTTGATGGTTTTCTCTTTATACAATTTCAAAAATGATGTAAATCAAAACAGGCATATCTGTAAAACAGTGCGAGCCTAGGACATCTCTAACATACGAAAATCAAACTGCAAACGGTAATTAGATTTAAATGTCAGGAAATGTTTCCAGCAGAGTTTCAAACACTGTGATAGGAATTGAATTTGCAAGTACTAAAGCTTTAGATTAGTTTTTTTTTATTGTTGTTTTTTAAGGCAAAAAACTAGCACACCTGTACCCCTGGGTACAATTTCTTTGCAAAGCCCACGCAACGTGTCCTACCAGAGGAATTCCGTGTGGAGAGTGCACCAGCGCTGTCCTTTGGAGGGGGTCCCTGGGCCTTCCACCACGCGGTTCTTCCTGATTTGGTCAGCCAGCCAGTTACCACTGCCGTTACGCATGACAAACTTATCCAGGAACACTAGCTGGCTTTCTGGACCATAAAACCAGTTGTAATTTGAGTCTGCAATGGCCACAGTCCTCTGAAATCCTGGGGAAAGAAGTTTTACAGAACTAAGGTAGGTTTGAAACTGCATATCCCCATAAAGGCCTAAACAATGATTTTCAATCCTGCCTGCAAATTAGAATCAAGTGTGCATCTTGGATAAAAATGACAAATGAAACCACAATGCCCACACTCCACCCCGGACCAATTAATCGGAACCCCGCTGAAGGTCCTCCACAAACCTTGTGTGCAAGTTTGTATTTGTTGTGTGGCAACTTGTCGTTGGTGATGAAGATGCCACGACGACTAATGACGTACACTGCCCACCTTCCCGGGTTTCCGGGGCCCATACTATGTGCAGTTATGTTTGCACAGATACAGGCACTATCCTCTTGAGCATGGTCAGCTCCTGGACCTCAAACGAGCAATAGCTCTCCTACCAACTCAACCCACATCCTACGCCAAAACAGTAACACAAATGCCTCAGTGTGCCCTCCAATCAAGCGGAAGTTATAAGGTGTAGAGGAGAAACTGAGTTTCCACAGGAAGAAAACCTAACAATTCCCACAGAGATCCTGCAGCGTGTATTGCTGGTCGTTAAAGGAAAGAGGGGAAATGCAAATATCATACTGAAATGGGTCAGAAAAAGAAAAGCAGGGAAGACAGGATATGCTCCAGACATTCTTAAAGAAGAAGAATGGGCGAAAACGCCGGGTCAGACAGCACTAGTCACTAGAATAGCCGCTGGAGAGAAAAAAGAGAAAGGTTGAAGCAGATTGACTTAACACAGAATCCCTTCCAAATGTGACCATGACTGCATTTCCATAATTTACAGCTAATATTTTTGCTTCTAACAGTCTAGTACAGGGGTCCTCAAACTTTTTAAACAGGGGGCCAGTTCACCGTTCCTCAGACCGTTGTAGGGCCAGACTATAGTTTTAAAAAAAACTATGAACAAATTCCTATGCACACTGCACATATCTTATTTTGAAGTAAAAAAACAAAACGGGAACAAATACAATATTTGTATTTGCATGTGGCCCGCGGGCCGTAGTTTGAGGACCCCTGGTCTAGTAATTGCTTTTCTAAATAAGTCTTATTATAAAAAGTGATTTTCTGAATCTTTTGAAAGCAGATGATATGTTTTATTCCTCTTTGAGTCTTCCGCCCACCACATAGGTGTTCAAGAAAGGTTTGTTGAGTTAGTCAATGGACACAAATACTTGAATCCTCTTCTTAGAGGTGTTCATGCTGTCTTTTCCAGCTTAAGCAGCAGCTACGTAAACAGCTCACAGCAGACCCGAGCCCTGCTGCGGTTGGCTGTTAGATCTCAGCTCAAATTACAGAACACTGAGGCCATTAAAGGCCTTTGGTTATCAACATAAACTATAAAACAGGTCGCTCTGGTATGTCTAAGAATAAGCAATAAAACAGAGTTTTGTTTTGTTTTTTTAAAAAAAAGAATAATATATTAAAACCAAGTAGGACTTATATCAGGTTAGTTTAACATTTAAAAAATTAATCAGTGTAATTCATCATATTATCAAAATAAAGAAAAAAACCGTATCATCTTCATAGATAAAAAAAAAAACAAACCAGTTTTGAATGTAAGTCTAAATTAAATTTTAATATGGTTCTTTTGCTCTGTATTATTTTTGAGAAATTAACCCAATATTGGAGATTCTATCCAATCCATGTGTATACAACCACAGCAAAAAAGATTTAAATACTGAATTTTTTACTGTAATTCTAGAATCATCATCTGAAAACTTCATTTCACTGGAGGGAGGAGGGGAAACCATCTTGATTAAAAACTACCTCCTAAAATTTTTTTAAGTCCTGTTCAGAAATAAGAAGAGTTACAAGGCTCTCTTAGAAATAAATCAGTTCTTAAATCATATATATTATTTTTTTTTTTGAGTCAGTTCTCTTAGAAGACTAAGCTACATAGCAACAAGAGATTAGTTTTATAGAAATTCACTTTTTGGCTATATTCCTATATTTTATACTATTTATTTCAATAAAAAACTTAAAATACTAAAGCCCCAACTTAAATATGTAGGTGTAATATTTCATTTTGAATCATGTCTATATAGTTTGGAAGAAAAAATTATGAACTAAAAACCAAAATAGGATTGACTGGGGATCACATATAAAGGAAAATGAACATATAATCATAAATGTTTATATTCTGTTTTGATTCATGAAAATGATTTTTGTATAAGTATGCATGGTTTACACATACAAAAATAAAAGTTCTGTGGCGCCTACCAATTCTATTTGATCCGCCATGCTCCAAGCTTTACAATACCTAAATCACAAATCCTCCCGTTAACTCCCGAGATGTTCTGGCTATGTAACTCTTACATTGAATTCTATTTTGATTTTTTTTTTTAAATCCCTCTAATTGCAATATGGCTCAAACCCCACATTTCTCTAGCCCATTTTCATAATCAGGAAACATGACAATAGTTAACGTTGACCCACTTGCGATTCCTCACTATACCTGGCAGGATGGTTCTATACATAAAAGCAAAGTGTTGCTTAAGCCACGGGTGACCGAAGTGGTTGATGTCGAAGTGCCTCTGCACGAGGAACATATACTGGAAGAGTGATCTAGTGGTGTAGCTGCCGTACGCGACCCCTTCATAGAGGGAGCCGTCCGTCACCTCTCGGAGCAAGACCAGGGACTTCTCCATGATGGTCAGAACTTGTTTGGTCCATAAGTAGGCTTCTTGAAGATACCCTGGAGGATGAAAACACATGGAAACGATGACTAAGGCTGTAACAAACATAAACAAAAATGTGGCCAAATAAAGCCCTCTGAGTTATCTGACTCCTTTATAATACAAATTACATTTTGTAAAACTCCCACTTATCAACGTTATAAAGAACGTCCTGGGATTGTGATGGGTATAGGATGTAAGTTAAGAAGTTCCTGAATACAGGTCATTTATTAATTAAATGAAGATAAACCTTTAAGTGAACATCAGTCATTTTCCAATCTTTAATAAATTGAAACCACATCACATCTAAGATCACAAATTCCACATAATGGGCGGTCTTCAATTTATTCTATCCTCAGACAACAATTTCTCACATTCTTTTATGCTTTTAGATTGAAGTGGCAACTTAAGGGCCAAAAACATCAGCTGGGAGTCCAGAATCTGCCAAAAATGAGCTACGTGGTTTTGTTCAAGCACTTCTTCAACCTGTCACATTCTTCAATCTCCCCAAGTGAAAATTAAAGGTCTAAAAACTTTTTTCAAAATCCTTACAACATAAATGCTAGCTTTCTATAATTCTTGCGAGACTAGCATTTAAGTAACAATAACAACTCCCCACATTTTTATAACATTTGTAATTGACACAGCACTGAACATAATCCTACTTAATCCTTTTAATAGCTCAATGATGCATTATTACTCTGAAGTTACAGAAAGGTTGACTTGTTCAAGACCTTGGACACATGACTGAAAATGAACAGAACTTTGATCTGAGCCCAAGTCTTGAGATTTAAGGTTTGTTGTCTTGCATTTAAAACACACAGCCCCCGAGGATAAAATTAAGCTCCCTGCCTCCTAATGCGGGTGGAGTCTTACTGCTTCACTCCCACGGACGTGTGTGTGGCCGTCAGTGCTGAGCACTCCGTCATGGCTACTAGTGTGCTGGGTATGGGGGCTTCCAGAGGCCCAGGACCACAGTTCCCAGCCTAAATCCAAGACCCAGGCTAAGTAAGTCCTCGCCCCCACCTCATGTGGAAACACTGTTCTCAGGCTCGCTGGTCAGAGGTGACTGTTCATTGTACCCTGGATCTGTCTGCCACCCAGCTCCACACCTGGCATGCCAATTTTCTGGGTACTTTTCAGCTTCTGTTCTCTAATCGTTAGGGTTTAAAATTTCAATCATCTTCATGGTTTCCCTGTCGGTAGCCTCCATCTGCAACCAGACACCAAGGCGACTGATGCTCACTGCTCCCAGGACATCAGATAACCTGATTTTCCTTATAAAAACCCTGTTCAGGAGATATGAGGCAATGTCCCCCAACATATTTTGCAAACTTCAAATCTGTCATATGACGTACCATTGCTGTGATTAATGCTATGCTTCCACCATCCACATACCTTAGCTAGAATGTTCGTCATCATTTTCATTTAGCAAATCCTAAATATCCTTCAAAGTTCCATGAACCTTCTCAAGCTCACTTAAAGAATATTCGAACGTAATACACTCGATGATATGAAACCATAACTTCATGCTACCTCTTATTTAATTCACTGGTGCTATTATAACTCTTGGGTAACCATTTGAACATTTCACATCTCTCTTCTTTCCTCTCGGTTTGTAAACTGCTTACATGTGGTCCTGTGGTTTCTGTGCACCAAGACTTAGATAGGGTTAGCAGAATAGACAGAAAATTCTAATTCTTCCTCTTTGGAGATTTTATGTGAATCCAATGTAACTACGGTGTGCTCTAAGCTACCTCAGTCAGTACCTGCAGGCTGGCCTGGAGAACATGGAATATTGGAACAGCCTGACCAAAGTAGCTCTTAACGTTGGAAGGAGTATGCCAAGAAAGTGAGGACTACAAGCCTAACTGAGGTGTGCAAAACCAGAGATTTCACCCTTTTTCTACCCAGTCTTCTCATAAATAACTTTAATCAGGAAAAAATACATATGAAAACTCCTACCAGGGAAGAAGTACAAATTTTGCTCCAATCTGAGCCAGCCACAGACCTTGGGATTAAATTCTGTTTTTGTGAGTGTAGGGGGCAAAGGAAGCTAGCATGAAAATTCACCCTCTTAATTAAGCTTTCCTTATTGCTAGAAATTAAATTTCTATTCCCAGAGAGGCAACAAAATATCGTGAAAAGAGATTGAACTTTGAGTTTGACCAGAAGTGGGTCAAAAATCCCCGCTACTTATATGGTTAATGTGAGAATTCATATTCTTATGGGGAATATAAGAGTTAAATCCTTTTAGACTTGCCAGCTCCAAGTATATATTTAATGTCCTTATAATTCACTGTGTTCTTAGAGCAGCTTTTAAAAATATAATCTCATTTAGTCATTTATAAACTTCCACAGGAGTTGTAATTAAGACAGAATTATAAGAACCAAGAAAATGTAATACTAGCAATTATGTTATACATGAAGGCAAAATAGCTATACAATCCACAAAAGTTACTTCCAAATTTGACCTAAATGATCCACATTGGTAGTTTGAAGTCTTTAGAGAATAAGCGTACTGGTGTAATGATACACATCTGTGCAAGGAATATTGATTTCAAATAATAAACCACCTGTTCAGCTTTTAAAAACTCCATTTTCCCAGGCTGGCTGTCTTCACTGTTAAAATTCTCTGGAAAAATCAATATTTACGACTGGTTCTGTGCTATAAGAATATGGCTTGGGCCTTAGCCGGTTTGGCTCAGTGGATAGAGCGTAGGCGTGTGGACTCAAGGGTTCCAGGTTCGATTCTGGTCAAGGGCGTGTACCTTGGTTGTGGGCACATACCCAGTGGGGAGTGTGCAGAAGGCAGCTGATTGATGTTTCTCTCTCATCGATGTTTCTGACTCTCTATCCCTCTCCCTTCCTTTCTGTAAAAAATCAGTAAAATAAAAAAATAAAATAAAAAGAATATGGCTTAGGCCCTAGCCAGTGTAGCTCAGTTGGTTGAGCACTGTCCCATGCACCAAAGGGTCACTAGTTGGATTCCCAGTCAGGGCACATGCCAGGGTTGTGAACTCAATCCCCAGTAGGGGGCATGCAGGAGACAATTGATAGATGTTTCTCACATCAGTGTTTCTTTCTCTCCCTCTTCTCCCTTCCTCTCTAAATCAATAAAAGCCTATTTTAAAAACATGGCTTGGCACAATCAAAAAGCCCTAATTCAATAACCTTCATGCTAATATAACTAGCAGAAATGAAGATGTCTCTCAATTCTCTAAGAGATAACCTAGTTATTACTTCATCTCATAGACTTAGGATCAAATATGAACATGTACTAAGACTAGTTATAAAAAATGCTTTGCTCATGCCTGGCTGGTGTGGCTCAGTGGTCGAGCATTGACATATGAACCAGGGAGCTAACAGTTCAATTCCCAATCAGGGCACATGCCTGGGTTGCAGGCTCGATCCCCAACAGGGATCCTGCAGGAAACAGCCAGTCAATGAGTCTCTCTCATCACTGATGTTTCTACCTCTCTCCCCTCTCCCTTCCTTTCTCTGAAATCAATAAAAACATATTTAAAATGCTTTGCCCGCAACATGGCAGCGACGTCTCGTGTCAACCCGGGCGTCCCTCAGCTGTGTCGACACGCACCTTGGTTCATCAGAACTAGGCTTCCTGTGAGCAGAGCCATGCAGTTGGTGGGCTGGTGATTGTGCAGGTATTGAAATCCCCATCCTCTCCTGTATGAGGTTTCATACATATAGCCCGAGGCGTTGGCAATCACTTCAAGAAACTTCTCCTGCTGCGTCTTGCTCAGGTAGTTGTACAAGAAGTCATAGGCAGTGGCAAAACCCACCAGGGAGTGAGCGAGCGGGACTTCATCCCAGGGAGCATCTTTCACCAACCTGGAAAGGAAAAGAAGCCGGCAAATGAGTGCAACAGGGCTCACAGCTTTCATCACACCTTTCATGTGTCTATTACCCAGAACTAAAGGCTACAACTGAAGATATAATCCAAGAGGTTTAATGACACAGAATCAACTTCCCTCCGCATTAAACAAGCATGAAGTTTAATGTGAAAATTACAGAGTTTCTTTCTTGATGTTCCCAGCAATATGAAGATGCTGGGAATTTTTACATTTGATATTTTTCCTCTTGCTGAGAGGTAGACGAATATATCCAAAGAGATCTGAAGCACGTAACATGTAGCAGCAAGGCAAAATTCTCTGGCATATCCATTTAACTAGGGTTCACCCTCCCCTTTCTACCTGCATAAGAGGTCCTGTTCTTATGACTGCCTCGCTAAAATGGTCAAACATGCATATCCCTTCCTATTTCCCACAGGCTGGTCAAGGTGAAGGTGGCATGGTCCATAGCTTATGAGCTCTCAATCAGGACAGACTCTCTGCAACACTGTGATGCAGGCACTGGCTAAAAAGATGATGTAAATGAATGAAATAAACTGATTCTATTTCTACATCTCCTTCTTCTCATAAAATAAACGGCACTGCCTTTAAGGCCCTTTGAGTAGTTTTCAGAGAAGCCTAAAAGCTGATCTGTGAAGTATTAAACTGCCATTTTTTCTAAGAAGCCAAATTTCTGCTTGACTTGCTGCATTGTTCGGCAAGTATTTTAATAGTGTGTGGCCTGCGTTAAACAGGAAGCTAAGAAACATCTTTCACAGTCACAATGCTATGGAATTATCCAGAAAACCCTCCCCATCTGTTCAGGATGTATTTGAGTAATCTCTACGAGAGGAAAACAAATGAAGAGTGTGCCGTTCTTGTGGGAGGTGGAAGAAAGCTCTCAGTTAGGGATTACACTAAAGCTTAACGTTTCTATGCCAGGAGCCTCCTTTGGCAATTTAGTGAAGTGTTAGCCTCTTTCTCAGGAGGTCTGAAAATTCATAAGCTGAAATACGTAGGGATACAAGGAAATCTCTTACTTTGAAGTATAATTATTAAAACAGATACTTTTTTTAAATTGTGATACGTGCTTCTTTATTAAATAACAGTATTTAACTGCAAGATTTAACTATCATAATTTATAAGTAGTGATGAGCACAAATAATATTTTGAGATGTCTATAGTAACTGTGTGTGATATGAACATATCTGTGATCTCTGTGACAAAGTTACAGGTTCTCCCAATAGTTGGTTATCTACATTCATGATTTGGAAGAAATAAATTTTGGTGAGAGTTAGTAAAAATTAAGATGCAATATTTCCCCCACACAAACTCCACAGACCCCAAGTTAAGAATACTTAACACTTAAAAATGTCTGAGAGACTTCTTCTAGACTGTGTTCTTCCTTTAGGAGTTTATATCAAAGAACTCATCTGAGTGAGGTCTTGTCTGGCCACCCTGTCAGAAGTTCATCACTCCCCAACCAACAACCTCTCATTCCCCTTCCTTATTTTTTGGTGCTCTTACTATACATATGTATATATGTACATATGTACACATATATGCATGTGATACTGTATGTGTATATATCCCTTACTGAAATTTAAGTTCTGCAACAGCAGGGTTATTTTCCCTGCTCTGTTGTATTCACTATTGCACCCACAATCCTACAACAGTGTCTGGCACATAGTAGACTTTCAATAAGTGTTCTTGTTAAAAAGAAAAAATGAAGGAACAAGCTTATAAAACTAGGCCACACTGTTGACAATGAATATGCAATCCTTATGACATCAGAGGTTTGGAGGAATTTCTAGGAATTTCAGAATAATATCAGTTTGGTTAGCTGTGCTGGTGATACAGACTGGTGCTAAAGTGACTACGGTTGATGAGTTTCTTAACCATTTGGTCACAGACAAAGCCACCTTGCTGGTCAGCTTGCCAGTGTGTGTACTGGTTGTAAACAGACTGTGAAGAGTGTGAATTAATTCCCTACTTCCAGGAAAAAAATAGTAATTCATACTGCAAGCTCACTGTCAGGGAGTTAGGAACACAGTCTCCACTGACTCACGGTGACTGGTGAGCCAGGCAGAGAATCCAAGTCATTCATTTCCCAGCTCTGTTGCATCTATAAATGACAGCATATACATCTAGTCATGATAAAGCTGATGTCAATGAACTGTGACCACCTACCAAACTCTGACACGTCTGATTAACCAATGAACTTACTTTTATAGATAAAAGGACATTTAATAGGATTCTCATTCTTTAAGAAATATTATTATCCAATTTCTGTGAAAATTTCCAACCTCCCATATACAGGTACTTATTCCAAGTAGTTTTCATTTAAATAAAATACTCAAATATAAAAATAGTTCATAGTACCATTGGGTTCATCACTACTAAATCATTATGAAATCTGGCCTATAAATAAATAGCTATATTTCTAAAAGGTTATCTAAATCCTTTAACCATCAATGCATTAATACAAGGATGGTACAATATTCACAAATCAATAAAAGCGATACATCACATAAACAAACTGAAAGACAAAAATCACATGATCATATCTATTAACACAGATAAAGCATTCAACAAAATCCAACACCCCTTTTTAATTAAAAAAACAAAACAAAAAAAACAACTCTCAGTAAAGTTGGAACAGAGGGGTCATACATCAACATAATAAAGGCCATATATCACAAACCTACAGCCAACATCATACTCAATGGGCAAAAATTAAAACTATTTCCCCTAAGGACAGGAACAAGACAGGAATGTCCGCTTTCACCACTCTTATTCAACATAGTATGGGAAGTCCTAGCTATAGTGATCAGACAAGAAGAAGAAGAAAAAAAAAGGCATCCAAGTCCTCTAAACACTAGAACTACGGAATGAAGTGGCCACCTCAAAAAATGAAGCGGTCCCCTCTCTGGAGATATTCAAGAACAGAGATATATTAAGGAGGGATTCTCTGAAAAGGAATCATGTGTTTGTCAGAATGTTAGGCAGAGTTTTCAAATTACAAATTATAAGCTATTAATAAATTGTAGAATGAACATGGGTTATGACCAGCATATTTTTAGTGTCATTTAATGGAATGGAATAAGACAAAGTACAACTTTCACTTACATATTTACATATGTAGAGTTAAAGTTATACGTACATTGTGTTGTGATGTGCACTTTGATTCTTATTGTGGGTCACAGTGAAAAAGGGTTTGAAAACCACTGTCTTAGAGGGTAAAGGTGACACCAAACAAGCAGCCCTCAGATGCACCCTGCAGGCAGACAGGACCCGGGCCCAGGTTCAGTGCGTGGAGCTGGGTGGAGTCCCGGCTTCCCAGGGCACTTTCCAGCAGAGGGTCTGGAGCCAGCACTGAGGACAATCCCATGTGAGATCATCAGGAAGGAACCCAGACACCGGAGAAGTTCAAAATGTTCACAGTAGAGGGCAGAGGTGCTGTAGGATGGAGGCAGATGAGAAACACCAAATGGGCCCAGGCAATCAATGCAGGAACACAAATAAGTGATCACTGTGTGGAAAAACAACAACATACATCTCCCATCCCCAAAACAATTCTGTCGGACTTTGAAGCCATTTCTATTCCAGAGGGATGATAAAATAATGTCTATGAACAGCACCCTACACCAATAATGGTTCTTTTCTTTCATGTGCTGGGGACAGTTTCAAGGAGTACTTCTTAAAATGTAATTTGGCAATAAAATGGGGAAAAAGTCAGTTTAGGATTTTTATTTGGGAATCATGAAAAATTTGGAGATGTGCTATCTCATATGTTGCCATAAAAGAGAATTAATGAATAAATTAAATTTAAATTAAGTTATGAGTCAAACTTGTGGGCTATGTTCAACAAGCCATGGACATTAAACAGTTTCCCAAATTTCAGATCTCCAGTTTGTCATATTGAAAATAAAAGTTGACCCTCCCTTCCCCAAAGGCTGAATGTAATCACACCCTCTCCATCTTCTCTGCCCAAGTGACAGGCCATGGTAGGAAAGCAAAGAGCAAAAGATTCAAACTGGCTTCAGTAATACTTTAAAGTCTTTCCCAAGTCAGCAAGCTCTCCAAAGACAGGAAAACAGTAAACTCCATGGGGGTTTTTAAAAATTATGGCGAAAAGTGTAGGGTGAGAAGATATTAAAGTTTCGTAACATGTGTGAATTTATTCTTCTCTCTCCCTTCCCCACATTGTTTCTTGTCATAATGAATTCGCTGCCAAGGAATCACAGAAATGAACTGAAACGTGCTCCCTAAATTGAGACAAGCCCAAATCACTATCCACACTTCATCGAGAATCTTTTTCCTTTTCTCACTTCAGAAGAAACGGCGCCGTTCACTCAAGTTGATGCTTCCCTCTGGAAGCTCCGCCTGCCCAATGCTTCATTTTGGTTTCAGCTCCAGAAGTGATCTGAGGACACCCGTGTGGCTGGAATGCTCTGTTAGCATCCCACCTTTTCTTTTCATTCTTCTGGCTGTTGTTCATTTATTTACTTATAATTAAAGCTGACCTTCTTTGAATTTTCCTTCTATATTGTTTAAGTCATTGACAGAAACTATGTATGTTGTACCTGAAAGCACATTTTATACTGAATAAAATCTTTCCTGGCGACAACCTTTTTTTTAAGTCACAACACACTACTGGCAAACAGGAAGTAGCTAAAAATAATGCTTGAAATATGAACTTGACATATCCTCTTCGGTCCACAGGCACTTCAAACTCAATATGTCCAAACCAAATGCTTCATGAGGCTTTCCCAACAGTCCCAGGTTTCACAATTTCACTGAGAGGTCCTGCCACCCTCTTGCCTCTCACAAAGAGACTTCTTTGTCCTCACTGTCCTCAAATATAACTGTCAGTCTTACACACGCTAATAACTCTTAAACCTTTCTGGAAACCATCATTTCTTTCCATTCTCAGAGTCTCTATTCCAGGCTCTCCTCTCTGGATAAACACAGAAAAATGAACTGATCTTTCTGGTATGA